TATAACCAACAGCGCAACACTATGAATTTAACCCAAAAAAGAAGGCAGATCCAAATGATGAATGACCTCTCCCAGAATCAAACTGGGACCTCCCACATGAATTTATTACCCAAGTCGAAATTATTGTGGCTGCGCTGCCGAGTGCGCCAACAGGTCATTTTGGTATCCTAATTGAACGATTATATCTAGTGGACGGTTTGAATTTAAATGAAATGATAATAATAATAAAAAAGAAGCTACAACATGGCCCATCCCAGAGTCGAGTCGCCGACATAACATAAATACAATATACAGCACATGGCTCTGAGTAAAAGGAAACGATGGGGACCAAACACGTGTGAAAAGCGGATCAATGACCTGTCCCAGAGTCTCCCACATAAGACCAGAAAACACAGCTATTGTGGGTGGGTACAGTGCCGAGCGCGCCAACAGGTCCTCCCTCCCTCATATTAACTGAACTACGATATGTAGTGCAGGGTTCTAAACTTCACATAGGATGACACAACGTGGTCTGTAGGCCATTGCTTACGCATGGCAGTACGAGTCCATTTCCTTTTTAAAACTCCGGATAAGTCCGATTTAAGGTCTGATCCACAAACGATGTGTTTTGAATGCATTCTTCTCTTCAAATTTTCACTCGGTTAATGTGGGATGAAGTTATTAGTAAAACATTGATTGGAGTAGGAGAAGGTGAGTGCATAGCTAAACAGAACCCACATCTCCATGCCCCCCCCAACCCCGGGGCCACATCTGCATAGATGGCGGTGCATAGATTTCTAGCCCCATGTTTGTGTAGATTAAGCGGAGGAATATCGCGCAACAACGGCCCTTCGGTGTAACGGCGAGTGCTGATGCCAGGTCTTTCCGGTCCTATTCACGGAGACGGAGGTGAAGTGACCAATTTCTGGAGTTGTTTGAGTGAAACACACAAAGACCACGGAGGCCCATGCGCTTGATGCCGACTTGAGTCGCGAAGACGAGGTATTCATCTAGAATTAAATTCTGGACTTCCACAGTGATGAATAGTCTGGGGGGGGATGTCGCACCACGGTCACTCTCCTGGTTCGCATTGCTATTCCGCTTGAAGCACATCCTGGGCAGCTAGAGCTCGGTTGCGAGAACAGGTGGCCAAACCATGCCGATAAAGGTATGTACTCCACCTGGATGTACGGCGTGAAGAGCACGGACATTTCCAACATCCACTATTTGGTTGAGCACACTGATTTCACGAGGGATTTTTGAAGACAACTAGGGCACATGGAAACTGCGTTAGTGTAGCTTTGCCTGTTCGTTATGGCCATATACAAGGCATCTAATGTGAGGCCGCTCGCTCAGATTGGAAATTCTGCAGGATTTTAGTGATGCAGGATTTGTCGGACATTGTCTCGAGCGGTTTCTGGTTGATCCGGCGTCGTTTGTAAGTTGAGGATCCACAGACGGAGCAGGGCATTCGTTTGCGTGAATTTTGAGCGCCAGGCAAGAGGGTTGTCATGCAGGATAAGGACAAAGGCACGAAAAGACTGTCGTAACCGCAACTATAGTTGCGACTGTCCCAAATTAGACCTAGGGGATTGCGAGCTTGCGCTGTGGGATTACTAGCACCAGACTCATTGTCAACTGCAGTCGGCCGTTTGACGCGCTTCGCACTCGAGCTGGCGGGTAAGGTGTTCACAACTTTCCTCTTTTTTGTCACTGCACTGTCTAAAAGAGCTGGATCTCTGTCTTTGGCCGAAAGAGTGGTTCATGGATGCCATTCGTTGTAGGAGATGTCGCCAGCGGGTTTGTTTTTAACGGGTTGAATTCAATTTCTTCGTGAAAATGAAGAGGGTCAACCGCGGTGCCTGCGACGGCGCGACAGATTTCGATGATGTGTTGATCGTTCAACCGTTCGGTGTTGCAAATGAAGGACCATTTTTTGTCCATCTTTTGTAAGTGCTGAGCACTCCGCTTGGGTTTCAAGATGAAAGATCCCACAAAACAGCAGCAAAATGTCTGCTCCGCCCCGTATAATAATAAACGAGCTCAGTCGTAGAGATTGCCGATTGCGGTTACGTGATTTCACCGAAAACCGAGGACCGAGAAAGGCAATATGTTCACATCACGTTTCACAATCAATCCGAAGGTGACGATTTTTTGGCTGGTCGAGATTGCCAAGAACGAGTTCCTATAAATAAGACTCGTAACCCGGATCAAAAACATGGCCGCAGAAAGCGCAGAATGACCGAACTTTGGCCTCCCGGAGAATTTCTAATGGGCGGGCTACCATTTGCCCCACCAGGTCTTTCCATCTATTAATTGAACTACAATATGTAGCAGAGTAAAACGAGCCAGCCGGAAAAGAAATGTTTGCAAACGACGAAAGTATGAATGACCTGTCCCAGAGTCGAACTGGGGTCTCCCACATAACTTTTTGACGGAACACCCCCAATTATTGTGGGTGCGCTGCCGAATGTGCCAACAGGTCTTTCTGCCGGTCTAAAATGCGCGAGGAGATCCGCAGCATGACCCATCCCAGAGTCGAACTGCCACCTCCCACATAATTTCGCACCGAAATATCCAGTTGTTGTGGGTGCGTCGCCGAGTGCGCCAAAAGGTCTTTTTGGCTTATTAGTTGAACCAGAATGTATACACCAGTCACGGAAGGCTCTTAATATAAAACGTAGAGGCTTTGAAACAAAGAATATCAACTTGTCCCAGAGTCGGGGCCTCCCACATAACCTCATATCGACCTAAGTTATTGTGGGTGCGCTGCCGAGTGGGCTAACAGGTCTTTCTGCTACATATATCAATTAAATTTGAATACAGCTTTGAACAAAAAATACAATGACTCTGACCAAAACTTTGGAAAAAGTGGACGCATGACCCGTCCCAGAGTCGAACTGGGGCCTCCCACATACTGTCTTCGGCAGCTCAGTGGTTATTGTGGGTGCGCTGCCGAGTGTGCCAACAGGTCGTTCTACCATGTAAATTGAACCGTAATAAATTTGTGAGTAAATGTCTGCTGCCGATGCGCCAACAGTTTCCTGGTATATTAATTGAGCTGGAATACTAGTGGAGGGTTCCGAATAAAATGTAACGACGAGGGACAAAAATGTGCAAGCGACCCATGGATGACCCATCCCAGTGTCGAACCGGGGCGTCCTGCATAAGCTCGCTCTGATTTATTCATGCGGACGGGCTACCTTAGCACGTTACAGTTATTGTACGTGACTGGCTGGTCAAAAGCTTACTCTACTATTCACGGTCTTGTTTCCTGACCGTTTATTTACCAGGAAAAAAAAAAAGTAAAGAAAATACGCCGAAAATGGATATGACCTGTCCCAGAATTGAGCCGGGGACTCTCGCTAAGACTCATTTTAGCCTGGGCATATGTCAGCGAATGCACTACCAACTGTGCCAACAGGTCGTCGTTAACAGCTCGGAACCGAAGAAGCTCCCTGCAAATAGTTATGGTTGAGCTGGCGTCGGCCGGAAAAAATGATGGCCGATCCAAACTCCGCGCGGTCCGAATGCCATATCCTCTTTCGTCGCTCTCTCGCTGCTACTGACCGCGTTGGACCAAACGACTAATTCCTTTTGGTTTTACTTGTCGTTGACGACCGACCAGCCACCTCCCTTCCACACACTCCGGTATGCAGCTCATCCTTGGACGCGCCAAAGCTCATCGCGCACGCCACCATGACCACGTTCGCTCACTTGTTCGGCTACACCATCGCACACGCGACGGAGGACGGCAAGTACCTCTTCAAGAACGCGTCGCCCACGGCTGTTTACACGTACACCGAGTCGCTGCGCATTGTCTCCGTGCCCGGAGTCCCCGTCGCGGGCCTCGCCCTGTCCACATTGACAAGACGGTCCCGCCTGCCCCTCCTCCTCCCCGCCTGGTTCCCGCCCCATCAACGCCCTCCCCTCGCCCCTCTCCCCCGCCTTCAGCCCCAACACCCCAAGATGGCCAAGCTCACCTGCACCCTGGGGCAGAACATCCCCCCGAGCTTGTCTTCCAGGCGCAGCCACAATCCCACGCGAGCGCCGACGCCGTCGCCACACACCCCGCGCTCCTCGCGCGGCTCCCCCATACTGCGCGCGCAGGGCTCCACCGCGTCGCTCTCCCCCCCGCGCTCGCCCGCCTTCTTCGCCTCGCGCACGCCGTCCCCCGCCCCGTCCAGCAGCTTTGCGCCCTCGCCCACCTACGCTACCGAATTCTCCAGCAGCGCCGAGCGTGTTGGCTCGCGCGCGCCCTCCCCCGCATTCCCGCACAACGACTACCCCTCCCCCACGCGCGTCACATACGACGAGCACGAGCACGAGTGGGTCCGCGTGCGCTCCTTATCGCGCACCCATCCATCACCACGCGCAGCATGCGCTCCGAGCGATTTCTCTTCCGCACGTTCGAGTTTACTGAGCCGCGGACGGCGGGTCAAACTGGAACCGAAGCGGGGGGGACGAGCACGATGTACCGCCGCGAGTCGCGCCAGGGGTGGGGCGGCGAGTGGGGCGGCGCAGCGCAGGGCCTGGGCATGGACGAGGTCGTCAACCAGCTAAGGGGGCTCAACATGAAGTGAACGTTGCGTCCTCATTGTTAGCTGTACGATCCTCCTGACGCTTGTGTGCTTTCCTCGTTGCGCTCGCCGCCTTGTCGATCACGACCTCCTTATGAATGGCCGCACGAACGGCCGCGCTGAAGAGGAGTAATGGGGAGGCGAGAGTATACTACGACTCTGGGTACACTTAATACGTCTGCGGCCGCGGTTTCGTTTGGCATATCGGTGGGTACTCTAATATGGTTTTTTAATTAATAGCGGGGACGAGGTACCTGGTAGTGTACGTACATACTGTATATAATTGCTGATGGAATGGCGTCGGTGCATGGCACTTTGGCGGCTGAAAATCCAGCGTTGGTAAATCGCGTGTGTCGTCGCAGCCCGTGGAAGAAAGGAATCGGCACAAACAAGAAAAAAAAGTCGAAACGACAGCAAAAAAATATCCCACTGAAGGCGAAACGACCTGTCCCGGATTTGAACCGAGGCCTCCTGCATACCAGACAATCCAAGTCTTAGATAGGACGGGCGCGCTTCCAACTGCACTAACAGGTCGTCTATGGCATTGTTTTTAGCTCAGTTCCAATGTAATGCGTGGTGGCTGAAGGAAAAAAGAAACTCCGCTGATGACCTGTCCCAGAGTCGAACTGGGACTGCCCACATATGTCATTGAAATCTGCACCAATTATTATGGGTGCTCTAACCACTGCACCAACAGGTCGATCTATTTCATTGAACCAGAACATATACGGGTCTGAATTTAAAATTAAATGAACAAGTCGGATAAAATTTAAAAATTGAGCGCACAGAAATTGCAGGATGTCCTGTCCCAAATTCGAACTGGGGCCACATACACACAACACAGTAGTATCGTGGGTATGCTACCTTCTAATCCTGCAAGTTATTCTGCTGTGTTAGTTGAACTATGACATCGAGCGCACTTGAGTAAAATGAGATGATTTATTAGTCCCGAAATAAGTAATATAAAAAAAGTTAGAGGTGCGCGCTGAGATCGAATTTCTAGTGGGCGGGCTGCCATCTGCCCAAACAGGTCTTTCCCAATGTAGGCTGGGCTTTCAACAAAATGAAATGAAAGGACCTCGAACAAAAAAGAAGCTCACAAATAAATGATCGAGCATGACTCATCCCAGAGTCATACTGGCAATTGGTTCCCACATGACGACGTTCTTGTCCAAATAGAAGACGCTACCGAATGCGCGAATAGGTCATTCTCTCTCGCTAATTGAACAAGAATACAGAGTCCAATTTCTTTTTTTAAATGGGCAGAAAAAGAGCACAGTAAAGCCCGGATGACCCATCCCAGAGTCGCACTGGGGCCTCCCACATAACTTTTCTATGCAGAGATGTTTAGCTATTGTGGGCGCGCGCCAACAGGTCTTTCTGCTATAACAATTAAATTTGAATATAGCTTGAAAAAAATGAACTGAAGGGAACAAAAATCGGCGCGCAGAAAATCTAGAATTCCATCCCTAATAATATCAATTCCCTTGTCCTCCCATCTGGAGCTCCTCTTCCTCTCCAACAGGAGATTCCACACCAGACGACCGAGCATACTCCTCCAGACGACGGGTCCGTTCATTTAAAGTGTGCGCCAACGGTCAATGACTGCCCTGCCGACACCCGTCCATTGTTGTCAGTGGATACACCTCCACACTCACATACTTACTCCCGCTACTTGATCCGCACTCCCCCCCACGCGCGCAATTTATCCTGCTGCCCGCCTCCTAATATAATAGTTGCTCCCCGCCAATAAACAAAATACATCGCACTCTCCTGTATCCCTCCGTCCAGCATCTCTCTCGGCCGCATACCCTCCTCCCAACTAAACGAGCCCAGATGAAGGACGAACGACAAGACGCGGAACGAAAAAAAATGCACTGAGACAAAAGCCCTCAATACAAAGGCCGAATGACCTGTCCCAGAGTCGAACTGGGGCCTCCCACATAACTGGATCGAGAAACCTTAAATTATTGTGGGTGCGCTGCCGAGTGCGCCAACGGGTCTTTCTGTCATATTAATCGAACCATAATAAATAGTGGAGAGTTCTCAGAGTCGAACTGGGGCATCCCACATATATAATGGATTTTACTAGAAACCACTCACTTATTGGGGGCGGCCTGCCGAGTGCGTCAACAGGTCGTTCTACCATATGAAATTGAACCCGAATATTTCAGCGTCAAAACCCGAACTTCACAAGGGGCAACTACAATTGAAGCTATTGGGTTCTGAACTTGAGCGGTGCAGCCTCGTATGTATGAAGCGAACTCGATGTTCGGCAACATCGCTCAACTCCGCCTGGCCAAGAAATAGTTTCTACCCAAGACAGCGAATCCAATGGCTTCTTACAGTTGCTCACTTCTTTCCCACACATATTCCTGCCTCGAGGTCCTTGATCATTTCCTTACAAGCGAATTTCGTCATATTGTATGACACGCCAACCGGTTGATTTAGCTCCGATGGAACAATAGCCCACATCTTTTACCCCACGCTTCTGATAAATGTCCCGTCAAACTCTATGGCGCCCCTTGTGCAGTGATCCTCGCCGGGTCGCCACTGTTCTCATTGAAAATAAAATATTAATATCGGTTCATAAGGTTGAACCCAATTCAACCTGAAACAACTAAAACACAGAATACATACGATACATAGTCTGGCCGTGCAGATAACTGCGGTGTGAAGATCAATGCAATGACGCCGATGTCCGAGATTTATACTCAATTCTGCATTGTTGTAGTTACAAAAATATCAAACCGTTTATTCAAGTTCGATTTCGCCGTTCAACCGTTTAACCGGACAGTTATAAATTCTAGCTTCACGAGAATTCAGTTCACAGGCATCCGTAGCGGCTATTAGGCCAATTGTCTAATTTTCCGGTTAAACGGAACTCTGACCGTAAACACGTCTAACCAGCATTCACCTCCCATCCATCCATGGAGCAATCGCAGCTGTCCTATTGGTATGATAAACCTGGACCATCATGCATGCTTGATTATTCCCCAGTTCAAATAAATTCGTCCCTGCAACAGCCGACGCTCGCAAACGTATTCCACATCCCGTTTGGTTGCACGCTTGCGGCCGCTGCTAGACTAAAATGTCAGCTAAGATAGTTCACTGATATTTCGTGATGGCCACATTAATTAGGAACGGAGGATGGACACAGTATTGCTTCCTACTGAATGAAGAATAGGCTTGGTAACGACGTGGTTAGTAAGTCAGTGAAAATGCGTAACAATGCTTGCCAATGGCGGTCTTGAGCTATGAGTAATTAAATGGATCTTCGATCAAATGAGGACGTTGAACCCGCTTCACATCAAAGTCAACTTGCGAGAATTTTTATATAAGGAGCGTTGAATCCGCCTCATCAACATCATCGCTCCTTTTCCTGACGACCATGACCCTCACATTATTTGGCTCCCCGTTCTCCACCTGCACCAAGCGTGTTGCGGCTGTCCTCATCGAAAAGAAGGTCGCATTTACTTTCCAAAGTATAAATATTATGGCTGGCGAACACAAGTCCGAGGAGTTCAGAGCACGCCAACCCTTCGGGCAGGTCCCATACCTCGTGAGCCGGCTTTTTGCCTATTTAATTCCGACCACTTTCTGAAGGTGCTGAGTAGGATGACGACGGCTTCATTCTGTACGAAAGCCGCGCCATCTGTCGCTACATCGCGGACAAGTACGGCAACCAAGGCCCGAAGCTCGTCCCCACAGACCTCAAAGGAAAGGCTCTCTTCGAACAGGCCGCATCTAATGAATACTCGAACTTCGACCCTTTCAGCTCGAGGGCAGTCAGCCGCTCAGCGAGGCCGTTTTCAAACCGTAAGCCTGTCGCTAGTTCCGAGCCTCTAGTCTGATTCAATTACAGTATGATTGGTATGGAGACCAACAAGGTCAATCTTGAGGAGAACCTCAAGACACTTTCTGTGAAGCTCGACGTGTACGAGGCCATTCTCGGGAAGCAAAAGTACCTTGCCGGAGACGTGCGTACATTCGCTGTCCCATCGCAGCCCGTCGTTTATAATCCATTTGGATATCCACAGGAAGTGACGCTTGTCGACTTGTTCCACCTTCCGTACGGCGCCCTGTTGGAGAAGGCCGGCAGTGACCTTGTGGCCACCAAGGGCCCCAACGTCACCAGGTAGGCAGTTTTTGTTCTACACGCATCCGCGGACTGATTACCCGATGCACAGATGGTTCAATGACCTCCAGGCGCGGGATTCGTGGGTGGCAGTCAAGGATGGGATCTCAAAGACTTCGTACTGAACACGTTCCGGAAGAACTGAGTCTAAATAAGCGTATAAACTGGTTCTTCAACAATATTTTTAGATGTTGAAGTTCGATTGCATTTCTCTTGTCTGTTATTAGCCGATATATGTGAGGAATGGTCTGTTCCAGATTTGAGAAACTATGTTCTTGTTAACTCCAGGTAACTTGATTTCTTGATATTTCAAGCTTCTTCGGAAGCCTCAAGCTTGCGCAAAGGATGCAGTCCAGTTTCAGAAGATCTATAATCAGGAACGGAGTGTTGGTTTAACACAGCTCGTGGTGCAAGTCACAAGGATAGATCCAACAAACCAAAATGAGGATTCGATTCTGGTAATGGAGCCGCAATATATTAATTTAAAGTAGCTGAAGGCTTTGAATTTATGGTGAAATGAGCCGGAACCAAAGACACGGTCCTGTCCCAGAGTTGAACCGGGGTCTCCCGCGTAATCATATAGTGGTCTCAGGAACCATTTATTGTCGGTGCACTGCCGACCATGCCAACAGATCTGTATTCGCATGTTTAAATCAAGTAATAATGCCCGGTTCACCAGCGAGTCCTTCGGTAAAGTAAAGCGATCAAGATGGCGGCTCCGGATCCATGGAAGAGTCAACTACGATATGTAGCGGAAGTTCTGAACTTAAAATAAGAAGACACGGCCTGGAACAAAATATGGCCGCAGAAAGCGCAGAATGACCTCAAACTGGGGCCTCCCACATAATTCTTTGCGCATGCCGAACGTTTAGATATCGTGGGTGCGCCGCCAGTGCGCCAACGGGTCTTTCTGGCTTGTTAGTTGAACCAGAATATATACACCAGTCCCGGAAGGCTCTGAATATAAACGGGAAAAAGATGGAGGCTTTGAAATAAATAATGTCAACCTGTCCCAGAGTCGGGGCTTCCATATAACATCATATCGACCTAAGTTATTGTGGGTGCGCTGCCGAGTGGGCTAACAGGTCTTTCTGCTATATCAATTACATTTGAATACAGCTTTGAACAAACTGAAATGACTCTGATCAAAACTTCGGAAAGTGGACGAATGACCCGTCCCAGAGTCGAACTGGGGCCTCTCACATACTGTCTTCGGAGACTAACTTGCAAAGTTATTGTGGGTGCGCTGCCGAGGGCGCCAACAGGTCGTTCTACCATGTACATTGAACCATAATAAATTTGTGAGTAAATGTGCGCTGCTATATTAATAGAACTTGAATAGCTAGTGGAGGGTTCTGAGTAAAATGTAACGACGAGGGACAAAAATGTGCAAGCGACCCATGGATGACCCATCCCAGAATTGAACTGGGACGTCCCGCATAAGCTCGCTCTGATTTATTCACTCGGGCGGGCTACCTTAGTTATTGTACAGTACTGGCTGCTCAAAAGCTTACTCTGCTATTCACGAATTAGGAAGGTCTTTTTCCCTGACCGTTTATTTACCGGGGGGAAAATAAAAAGTAAAGAAAATAGAAATGGATATGACCTGTCCCAGAATTGAACTGGAGACTCTCGCTAAGACTCATTTTAGCCTGGGCATATGTCAGCAGGTGCACGACCAACTGTGCCAACAGGTCATTGTTAACAGCACGGAACCGAAGAAGCTCCCTGCAAATAGTGCCGCGCAAAGCGGGGACTTTCTTCCCCATGATTCACTGGCATCAACGCTGCACGGGAAAAGCCAGCCCGGCTACTGACCTGAAATGCCGCATATTTTAATTCAAACAATAACTCCGGCCCTTCAGCTTCAACAACACTGGAAACTCCATAAGTTGTGTGTGCTCTTCAAAGGTCAAGGTGCGACGATTTTGGTTCATTGTTGTAAAATGAACGTGATTTTGCTTCTTCATTTTTCAATGGTTGGAGTTTGTGTACAATGATTGCCTTTTGTGGAGGACACACATTCAGAAATTTAGATGATGTGAACAGGTATGAGTTGAAATACCCGCAGGTCGGAAATTCCCAGACTGCCGCTTGAAATTGTAGCTGTAGGGTGTTGAGATGCTCCAGAGCACGCTGTTGAGATTTAGTGGACTACAGCGCGGGGTTTGCAGGACGCAGTCCGCACACGCGGGACAACGTCAAAAGCCGAACGTTCGGCAGGCGATCAAACTCGGCTTCAAACTCGCATGGGGGCCGAGTCGGGAATAGCCGTCCTGAATGCGGGCGCAAATGTCTCTGAGTGAAGTGAGAATATGTGAGCGAGGATTAGGAAGGTGACGTATGGGCGCATAGATTGTGTCCATTACAGAGCTGCCAGATGGGTACTAGTACTAGGAGAGCAAGGGCAGCTCCGTTTATTTGAATGTTTCACCTAGATGTGAACATCATCGACAAACATAGGTCAAAGTATGGGTCGCGGTTCGGGCGCAAATGAGAAAGAACGAGCCCGCCACTCGAGCGCAGCACGGGCCTTCCCTTTATTGAAGTTATGGTGGTCGACATTTTGGGTGATCAATCAGCTGGGTCACATGTGTCACAACAGATACGAGAGTCACACCGAAGTGAATATTAGGAAGTAAGGAACATCGCAGTAGTAAGACCCTCGACGTGCTCCGCCCACCTCCACGTCGACGAGACGTACCCGCTCCCTGCACGCACGACAAAGACCCCGCAGGCTCGAAGCCCCACGACATCGCAAACATTCTGTATGCGCGCACGCACGGCTACGCCACCGCACGGCGCGCAGGATACCCACACCGACACCGTGCACACGCACACCTACGAGACCCCACAGCATGCCGA